GAGTTGTTCTAGGTATGCGTGCGTGGTGCCGTGTAGGACAACTCTGTCAGCACGATGTGCGCTGTATCCGAGTGGGAACGGCTTCACAGTCTCGTGATATGCATGCATGCAGTTAGCATGGCGAATACCGACCCTGGGCTGTGAATGAAAAGATTATTACTTGTATTAGTATTATTATAGCTATAAAGAGAACAAATTCTGCTGTCATCGCCACACTACAACAAAGTCATGAAGGTTTACCAAAATCGATTTTCTTAAAACGCTACGTGTAGGCCCCAGCGGCGGCAAATGCTAGCACCCAAAGTAGCATAAAAGGGCCTTTTTGTGACTCCACACGATGCTAGCATAAACAGCAGTTTTTACCGGCATCCAATACATTTTTGCCAATTTTGGCATTCTGGATGTGGAATTCGGTCTAGATTACACTATGAAACTAGTATTACGGTACTACCACATTGATAATTGCATGCACTATATTCAATTTGTTTGCATTACCTAGTTGTGACCAAGACCCACATTGCCATTGGTACTTCTTGGTATTTGCTCTTTTGTATTTCAAATATTTCCATAGCAACATGATGCCAACATCGCACCTTTAAAAACTCTTTTTACATACCTGCTTTGTGAGAATTCATAAATAGCACAGAACACCGTTTTCAACCCAAATGTTTCACCATTACCATTAATAGGTAGCATAATTCGTGTTGTCTAGCATCCAAACTAGCATCTTTCTGAGTTGTCAGCTAGCATCCCAAAAAGCATCTTGGCAACATTTAGCTAGCATCTGCCGCTGGGGCCTAGCTACGTGGCTAGAAACATTTCACATAATATTATCTTCTTAAAACGCTGTAGTGACAAGAAAATCGATTTTGGTAAAGCTTCATGACTTTGTTGTAGTGTGGCGATGACAGCAGAATTTGTTCTCTTTATAGCTATTATAAAATTGTTGTCTCTGCGTCGATTATTAGTATTAATATTATTAAACTTTGAATAGGGTAGTCCCACTGGCCTAGGGCCGTTTTACAGGGTACCCTAAAGATACACTTTACCAGGCTTTTCTAGGTTCAGGCTGGTAGTACAGTCGTCCCTCTCTAATCTGGCACTTGTTTATCCAGCACCCTTGTAAACCAGCACACCTTCTGGCAAAACGGATTGTTTCAGTTCATTTTCTACGTTTTAATCCGGCACTTGAATTCCGCCTCCAGCAGTGATTTTCTGCAACAAATCACTCAAACTGTACATAATTCGATTTTCTAATCAAGCAGTTGTACATCTACCCCCCCCCCCAACCATATTCTTTCATTCCATTATCACATTCACTTCCATGTAATTGGGCGTTTAGCCCGGTGTTCACTTGCGAATTCAAATAAAGAATTACATTCAAATACTCGTTAATGTTGTCCACATCCGTTTGCTCACTGCCTTCGAGAGGGTCAATATGAGCGCCTGGTTCGCTTGAGTAGACGTGCGCAAGGCGTTCAACCTCACTCGCTTCAACAGCATCAGTGCACTTCAAAAACGCAACCATTTACTCCCACTCGCCGCTCGGTATCAGCTCAGACTTTTTGTTCTTCTTTTCCGTTCACTAAATGATCTCACAAGCCCCCTACTCTCTAGTTGCTTTTTGTTGCGCAGTGCACCGTCACATACAAACTCCTGTACACGCTCTCAAGTTTCTGCATACCTTGCTCTTCCCCCTGCTTCAAATCGGTATGGTCTTTTTTCTCTTAGTTTTCTAGGCTCAGATCGTTGGAACTCTCTACCTGCTGACATTCGCCTATGCACATCTGTTTCTCGCTTCCGTAACCTTGTATTGGCACATTTAGGGTACCCTGTAAGAAGGCCTTAGGCCTGTGGGGATTGCCCTATCAAAAATTTAATAATAATAATAATAAACCAATATTAACTGATTTGAGGGAAAGAGACAAACGGGAAAAGTCTGAAGAAAAAATTGACTGTCACCACCAGGACTCGAACCAGGGACCCTCGCTTGTAGCCAGCGATGCTCTAACCACTGAGCTATGGTGTAGTCGTCATCCCAGCAGAGGCCGTTCAACATTTTCTTCAGACTTCGTAACTCACACTTCCTGTGAATCCACACAGGCGGGTGGGACGCAGCCCTCACTGTAACCCACACACTTCACGTACAAACTAGCACGCGGGGAGCCCCAAGTCATAAAATATTAACTGATTTGAGGGAAAGAGACAAACGGGAAAAGTCTGAAGAAAAAATTGACTGTCACCACCAGGACTCGAACCAGGGACCCTCGCTTGTAGCCAGCGATGCTCTAACCACTGAGCTATGGTGTAGTCGTCATCCCAGCAGAGGCCGTTCAACATTTTCTTCAGACTTCGTAACTCACACTTCCTGTGAATCCACACAGGCGATAAATAATAAACCAGTTAATAATAATAATAATCCTCCATCCCCGCCCCTCTGCGACTCACTGCCTTTCCTGCTAGATTGATATGATTTGGTTGTACACTGACTTGTTTCATAATAATCTTCCTTATTGGCCGTCGGCCGTCGTTGAATTACAGAATACGTTATTATTATTATTATTATTATTATTTAAATTTTGAATAGGGCAAATATGCAGAGCTCACCATGTGACTTGTCAGTTTGAGCACTCTGGCAAGGTACGTTTGGGCCTGGTTTAAATCTGGCTTTGGAACATTTATTTTTCATTGCTATCAGGTTCGGCCTCATTTCCTCCGTGCTGCGCTGATGAGTCCACAAAGGACGAAACAGTTCTGTCCGCAGATTGAATATACTGTAATACGGTCAAACATCTACGGGAGTTCTTTCACCCGAGTACTAGCCAAGTCAACTCCCTTGGCCTCTCCTAAGATCTCAAGTCTTTCATTTCTAGGGTACCCTGTAAGAAGGACTTAGGCCTGTGGGGATTGCCCTATCAAAAATTTGATAATAATAATACGAAATAGTGGTTGCGACTTCGGCGATAATTTGTAAGAAAGGGTTTGCTCCCCACACGCGAGCTCCGGTGTGGGGAGCAAACCCTTTCTTAATAATAATAATAACAATAATAAGGCGACGTGGAGACAATAATCTTAATAATGCAATGAATATAACTAAATGCGCACTCATATCAAGTCATGCTTGTATCCTCGCTGTTCCACTGCAAGTGTATAAATCCTATTGTAGTTTCATCATTCTCTTTAGTCACGAATTCCATTGATAATTGTGACAAGAAAACGTTCTGGAATACATGATTCGTCCCCATGGTTGTGATATGAGTGCGCATTTAGTTATATTCATTGCATTAATAACAATAATAATAATAATAAAGACTCATAAAAGTTTTAAAAAAAGAAGAAAAGAGTAAGTTATCGTGTCCGTTCCCGAAGGGACCTCGCGAGTCACGACTCGTAACTAGGAGCAAAATGTTCAAATACAATGCAGGTATTTGGATTTCAAATCTCAAGCCTTGCAGTATATATTATCAGCTACGTAAGTTTTCCATTGCTCACTGGATTGATATCTGTTCGGTACAACCAACCCTCCTTTTTCTTTTCTTTCTTTTTCTTATCTCTACTTTTCCACAATATCCTTTAAAATTTTATTCACAGTGGGTCCAATGTCATTAGACGTCATTATGCCTGTTTTGATTTCCACTATAGAATTAATGAAGTACCGTTAAACTGTCAATTATTTACTGTCAACATTCCCCTGTACCATGTGTACTGGGACCTTCGGATCTGTCGCGTGATTTTCATGAAACACGACATCAAAATTTAATTCAAAATTTATTCGTTACTTGTAGTACTCCCTTGATGATTTGTTTCCGCCTTCTCTTTTGTGCTTTGTGCATTGTTTTCCTCTTCCTTCTTTCTTTACATCACCGAGTATCTTTATCAGTTCTAACTCGGATACTGAGCCAATGAATTTTTTAATATGTAAGTAAAATAGTAGAAATCACATGAAACGAGCAATGAAGCAAATATCCACTTTGGTGCCCTGTTATCGCACTTTCTGACTGCTCATTATCTTGTTACAGTCGTGGATAGTTGCTTCGTAACTCGTGTCTATGTGATTTCTTCATCATTAAAATTTTCTTATCGACATAATTATGGCGAGTGGCACACTAAAACAGTCCGGAAACTACGCTCGAAGTACATACTGCGAAGAGGTTCGATTTATGGAACTCCCTTCAATTTTTAGACTACGTCTTTGGGAAATCCTCAAATATATTATAATAAATAATGAAGAAATATTATAATAAATGTATCATGGGAAATTGCGGGCACAAGTTATGCGATCATTGGCTCGCGATCTACGTTGGATTTAGCCAGCGGAACTGGGGCTCCACTCTGATGTCGGGGCACGATTCTAAACAAAAGCCACGGGCGGGAGAGGTCTAAACCAAGGACTTGCCAGGGGACAACTTGCCCCGAAACCAACTACACAATCATGTTAAACCAACTTCAAATGACCACCTGGCATACAATACCCGTACCCGCTTATTAATAACACTAGTGAAAGACAACACATAAACGTCTCCTCGTAATCTTTTGCAGCACCCCTGCTGAAATGCGTACCGGGGGAGTCGTTCGCACCACCCCCTGCTCGTAGACTCTCTACGTGTGTACATTCATGTGAGCGTGAGCAGTGGGTGCCTGCGCCCCAAGGAGAGCCTGCAGTCGGAAAGGGGAGCCAAGACCATCACCAAGCCGGACCCTAGCGGCATGAGGTCCGGTCCAAGTTTCGATTTGAGCACCTCGGGTATGCTTTCGTTCGCGTGCGTGTGTGCAAGATGCAGAAGTGTATCCCTGACATAGCTAAATCGAACACCCAACAAGGCATAAACCCTACACGTGGATTCCTTTTTGGTAACTTGTACAGGTATAACTAGGGTAGGGTCTCTATTCGGAAGCGGGAGTCAAAATCCTTGCCAGAGGCGGCTACTAACGGCCTCACCCGGATGCGATTCGTACATGTTCCATACAACTTGACGTCTCTCTTCTTCCTTCAGAAGATAACTTCCGAGGCAGCTCCTGTCCTCGACTCAGAAATCTTTGCTGCTTGAACGAAGCAGGAGGTGTTTTAATAGCTGCGCTACCGACAGTGTTTAGTGGGGAAGGAGAAGTCCACCTCGAGTCGACGGAAAGCACTTAATTGTTTTGCAAGTGCCTCGCTTAGCCGCGATACGGCGTGAGCTCGTCCTTCGTTCCTACCGGCCATTGTTGCTGATTGCAAGGTGAGTCATATACTGCCGGACTAGTTAGCACGGACTAAAGTTACTGTCTCTGGTCCACTGACCACCGGGCCGTACCCGTTGCTTATTTAAGCTTAGCAGAATCCGACCGACACTGCACACTGGCGCTGTGATTCTCGCGGCTAAGTAGTAGGTTCGTCTGGTCAGAACACTTCACCAGACACTCCAGTGTCTCAGATACTTTGTGAGCAGATCACCTTCAGGTGACGTTACGGGTTGGGTGTTCACTTTGCAAAGACCTAGTATTGTGTTTGCGTAGACACGGAGGACTCTCATTTGGAGGTGAATGACATAAAGAATCTGATATCAATTCTGTTTTGTACTAAACTTTCTGAGAAGCCAGCGTCTAGCATGGTGGAGTAGGTGCTTTTTCTTTCTTTTTCTTTTACTAACGTCCAGGTTCCCAGCTCGTAAATAAAAAATGGACACGTTGAGCGAAAGATAAGCCCCCGAGCAGTGAAATGGCAACCGCAGAAACATCAAAAAGAATTACAAAATGCTGTGTTGTTTGTGTAAAAAAAAGAGTATAGTCTGCACATCGGCGTTACCACGGTTACCAGGGTAGTATTGAGAAACACAACCAGCTCAGTGTTTGTTTGCATAGAAAATAAAATAAAAGATAAGGACCAAAAAGTGGGGCCTCAGTGTCCAAAGGAACACTTCAAAAATGGTGTTGTGCACTAGACCAGTCTAGATTGTTGAAGCCAATTCTTGTACTGGTTCTGTCTGGACATGGGCTGCTATTGTGTGTGCTGTCAGGAGTACCAAATGGTCTACGGTGTGTGTGTGTGTGTGTGTGTGTGTGTGTGTGTGTGTGTGTGTGTGTGTGTGTGTGTGTTTGTGTGTTTCTGCTATCGTTGCTATAAGAGAAAATCTGTGCATTTGCGTGTGTGTGCGTATGTGTGTGTGTGTGTGTGTGTGTGTGTGTGTGTGTGTGTGTGTGTGTGTGTGTGTATGCATGTATGTGTGTACGTGCGTGTATGTATGTGTGTGTGTGTATGTGTGTACGTGCGTGTATGTATGTGTGTGTGTGTATGTGTGGTGTGTGTGTGTGTGTGTGTGTGTGTGTGTGTGTGTGTGTGTGTGTGTGTGTGTGTGTGTGTGTGTGTGTGTGTGTGTGTGTGTGCGTGCATTATCTACACGAATGCGCACTTCTGTGCTTGTGTCCTTCACAGATCAAGATGTTGTCTCGAAACTTGTCCCTACTGCTCCTCCTTTGCTCATGGATGGCATGCGTGAGTATGGTGGAAGGTACGTTCATTACATACGCATCAGCAGTATAATTATTATTATATTATTGAAAGCATGTCTGCGTAGGTGGCGGGGGTGCCATTTTCGCTTATGCCATTCAGGATTGATGTCTGAAGAGAAATACGATACAATGAAATGACAGAAGTGACGTCAACAAAAGCCGTTAGCAACAATACCAATAGGACTAATGGGAAACTTCATCCAAAGTATAAAATAAAATAGAATATGCATACAACATGTCTGGCGGAATCACATGGATCACGAGAATCAGTCCTGTTAGGTGGGGCGGGCTCCACGCCATGCCTGTTGGTCCGCTGCCGTTGTGCGGACTGCGTCAGCATGTAGCGGCTGGTGGAGGGTAAGTCCATGCCATGATGACAGTTCCGTCTGCAGTGCTTTCACAAAAATAATTGAAATCCGATTTAGACAGAATTGGCCTTCAAAATCAATTTTAACTCTGCCAGACATGGGTTTTGGTGGTGGTGGGGGGGGGTTAGTACCTAGTGTTGAATACGAAAAAGGACGACTGACGACACATTATCCAGACAATACAACGGGAACAGGTAGGTTGGTGGAACGACATTTATTAGAGACGGGACAAGAGACCAAGACAAACGAAACGACTACATGGTGATTACTGAAGAGTGAGAAAAGAGATCAAGTCTGAATGGCAAGATAAAGGGCCTGGGTAGCTATGGCAATCATGGGCGCGCAAGTAGCTACCCAGGCCAACGGAACAAAAGGAGACAAAAGGTGAGTACGCAAGTGCATGCAGGCCAGCTAGAAAAGGTACGGGAGGCCGGGAGGAGGTACTTAACACTAGTATAACTGTGTGTAACCACTGATGTTAAATCTGAAAAAGTCAAACGAAGAACGACATATTAACCTCCTTGTGATTCATCTTTAGGGGAAATATACACCAAAACTCAACTGGAAGAGAGAGTATGTGTATGTGTGTGTGTGTGTGTGTGTGTGTGTGTGTGTGTGTGTGTGTGTGTGTGTGTGTGTGTGTGTGTGTGTGTGTGTGTGTGTGTGTGTGTGTGTGTGTGTGTGTGTGTGTGTGTGTGTGTGTGTGTGAGAGAGAGAGAGAGAGAGAGAGAGAGAGAGAGAGAGAGAGAGAGAGAGAGAGAGAGAGAGAGAGAGAGAGAGAGAGAGAGAGAGAGAGAGAGAGAGAGGCATGGAGACAAACAGATCAACAGGCAATAAACAGACAGACACACAGATCGAAAGGCATAGAGGAAAGAAGAGACAGCGAGAGGGACAGATAGAAACAAACGAAGGTAACTTCTAGCATCCTATTTTATGTACATATTTTCATTCATGCCAGTTAGAAAGGAATGGTAGAATGGGACATACCATTACCTCTAACAGTTATAACATGTCACCTGAATACGCCGGTGGAGAACATTTACCAGCATGATGCAGAGAATGACAATTGAATACATTGTGCACAGCAGAAGCATGGCATTCTGCAATATGACATAAACAGGGATGTTGTAGATGTACCAGATTTCCTGAGTAAAGGGGGCACTTCAAACACTCGTCACCCGCCCCGCCCAAAGTGAGTGCATTCAGTGGACTTGCAATGCTGCCTGCTCACCCGAATAGGGATGAATTAGTGCTCAACCCTTTGTCGGCTGATTAGTTGCACCATGCAATGCAATGATATTTGCGACAATTGTCAGAAATGTGGGCACGCCTTTGTTTTATATCGCAGATATTTTAAGTGAAGTGAGGCAATTTTATGTTATGATATATTTTTATTCACTGGTTTGAGGGAGGGATGCAAAAATGGGAGAATTGTAAGATTTTATATTTGTTAACGAATGATACAATCAGACAGAGAAACGAAAAAAAGCGCGGAAAACAGGGAAAAAAGGACAATGAGGAAGCGCTATCTGTCGGGGTTTCTAAGCTGTGCGTATGTGTGTTTTCTGCGTCTCTGGTGTATCTGCGCGGCAGCGATTGAAAACGACGGCGAGTGGAGGTACTACTTCAGCAGTGGATCTCGCCACCTGTTTGCCGTTCAGGCCGACCTGACCAAGAAAACTACGCCGCATGCAGCTGCTACTGCCTGTGCCGACATGGGCTACTCGTTGCTGCACAAGCTCGCTCTACAGCACGAACCGCGGGTCTTCCAGAAGTTTGGCCTCTTTCACAATGACGACCACACCGTCCTGTTCCACGGTCACCAAATGGCCCACAAGGAGGGCAACGAGGTGGTGGTGAAGCACGTAGACGCCAGCAGGGAATTCCTGAAACTATGCGTCAGTAAGTGCAAACTCGGCTGGTGCGTCTGCAGGGTCTGGGCGGTTATGTCAATTTCGAGGGGTCTTGTGTTGTTCCTTTGTTCTCTTCTAGTAATGAAATTTGAGACTGGTACAATACAGGTCCAGACATATTCACCATAATACATCCCTGCGAAGCATGGCCAGCGAAGCACTTCGCTGCCTTCTCTCTCTCTCTCTCTCTCTCTCTCTCTCTCTCTCTCTCTCTCTCTCTCTCTCTCTCTCTCTCTCTCTCTCTCTCTCTCTCTCTCTCTCTCTCTCTCTCTCTCTCTCTCTCTCTCTCTCTCTCTCTCTCTCTCTCTCTCTCTCTCTCTCTCTCTCTCTCGCTCTCTCTCGCTCTCTCAAGATAGAATAGCAAGTTTTACAACGGAATCAGCAGAACAATAGAATTACAATGTTGACACTCTGAAAAGGGAATGCAGACAATTGCTTTACTGTAATTTCACAAATTTTCGGTGTACTTTTATTTTCGGTACTTTCCGTGCATCTGTTTCGTACATAAAATTTCAATACACCGAACAAGCACTAACACGCGTAGTCGAATAGGGAACTGCTGCTCTGTACCTAAAATGCCTGTTCACCTAACCTGGCCTTTTGCCCTCATACAGTAGACTCGCACGCCCAAGAACGTCCAGGCTGGAAATCTAAGAACACCCCAGCCTGGATTTAAGAACAAACTCCAAGATTTTTAAGAACGCGACAATTTTTGGTATTGCACTCTTGTCGGGTCCTCACGAAAACATCACCCAGTGCAGCGCTACATACTACACGTGCATGTAAAGTGTACAACCGGCACATGTAGCGCAAAGTGCATTGTACATGAGCGTCACGGGTCATGTTGGACGCGTAAGAACGCGAAATAAGAACGTAGCCTGGGGCGCTGAAAAATAAGAACTTTGCTAGGCTGGCCCTGTGAAACCACCGCATTCTTGGGCGTACGAGTCTACTGTACCGAAAATATTGAGCACCCAAAATTTCTGAATTTAGAGTACTTCGAAGTTGATTCGGTGAAACGAGAGAGCTTGGAAGCTCAGGGCCCTACGCTATGCTTTTTTGCCTTGATGACCTAGACAAAAAAAGCATACGGATGTTATAAATTCATATAATTTTTTCCTTTTTTTAAAAGATATAACCTGGGATTCGAACCCGCACTATTGCCCTGCATGCATCCCCCGATACACTTCGCATACATACTAATTCTTCCGAGTTGCTTCACGTTATTATCTTGCTTTTGAAAGCCCTATTTGAATATGCATTGTGGCCAGCCGTCTTCGATGGCACAGTAGGGTACGGGACAGGTACGGGACAGGTACGGGACAGGTACGGTCGAGGGTAATACGACACCGTCTACCGCCTTGATGACCAAGGCAAAAGAAGCATAGGGATGCTATACATTTTTCGAATTCTCCTATTTTTTAGGCATAACCTGGGATTCGAACCCGCACTATCGCCCTACATGCATTCCCCCATACACATCGCATTCATACTCATTCTGCCAAGTTGCTTCACGTTATGATCTTGCGTTTGAAAGCCCTATTTGAATATTGCGGCCAGCTGTATGTGGCCAGCTGTGTTTGATGGTACGGTACGGTACGGGACAGATCCGGGATAGCTCCAGGCGTGACACAAACACACAAACAAACAAACACCAAACGAGAGAGCTTGGAAGCTCAGGGCCCTGCGCTATGCTTTGTTGCCTAGCTCATCGTGCATGTTGTTAGAACCGATGGAAATGCTTTTTCCTTTGATTAGCTACATCATTGTATTGCAAAAACGTTTCAATGAGATACTGAAGTACAAGTAACGTCTTTTGCATAGCTATGGGACCGGCGCTGACTTTGCCGATCACGAGCGTTCTGGAGTCGACGGGATGTCTGTCCTGACGTTTCCTGGGACCGGCGCTGACTCTGCCGATCACGGGCGCTCTTCTTCTTCTTCTTCTTATTATTATTATTATTATTATTATTATTATACTGACGGCAACTAACATCCATTCTGATTGCATTTACTCGTCTCCCTACTTCGTTTTTTTCTTCAGAAAATCTCCCCATACAGCAGGGAGTCGTTTACATAATATGACTCCCTGCTATAGATCTAAATGACTGTATATACGTTATAATTATTAGGCTATCGGCCTACATGCGATTCCCGGGCTGGTCGACAGGCGGCCCAGCCAGCCTGCTAGTGGGATCTCGGCCTCGCACACAAACCCACAGAAAATGTTACTGCACTGAATGCATTCCCCCGATACACTTCGCATATATACTCATTCTCTTGATGGTACCGTACTCTTGATGCTACGGGACAGGTACGGGATAGCGCTAGGCATATCGATGGCACAAACAAACAAAAATATTGTGGTCAGCTGTCTTTGCTGGTACGGTACAGTACGGGACAGATACGGGATAACGCGAGGCGTGACACAAACAAACAAACAAACAAATAAACAAACAAACAAACAAACAAACAACAAATTAAAACTGTGTGGACCCTGGCTAGCGCCAGACGTTACTGAAGTAACGTCTTCTGCATAGCTACGGGAATTAAAGCTGTGTGGACCCTGGCTAGCGCCAGACGTTACTGAAGTAACGTCTTCTTCATAGCTACGGGAATAATCACCACTGCTGCTCTTCTGCACTCTTCAACTGTACTATTAGGATGATCATTGTATGACCGCGGTACAGTAAAAGCAGACATTTTTCGGTGGTGTCATTTTTCGATATTCTCCAAAATCGGTGGTTCCGTGGAGGGAAAAGGGTAAGCGTACTAGTACCGTAAAGTCCGCTGCAAACGCCCACCCCATTTTTGCAAGATCTGCTGGCGTGTACACACTGACCCCATGCACTGTCACTCCTACTGTACAAAAGTGCATCTCACACCGTAGCGCGAAGAGCGCTTTGCTACGATAAACTATGTCCCCTTTCCTGGTTTCAAAATCTCTTTGGCCCGTAACTTTGGGCACTAGCCACGAGCTAGCTCGTCGTGATTGTATGATGAATTGATGATGGTTGTTTTAGTTCTCAAATCCAAACGGGAGTTTCTTCCGAGTAATAAGGTAGCGAAGAACAGAGTATTGCACGAACCAAATACACTTCTGACAGTGTTTCAAGCCATCATTTCCAAATCACACAACGCTCAGAGGCAAGTATTTTTCTCGAGCACTTCCGAGTTTTCAACAAGTTAGCAGCGACTTTGTAGGTGTAGCTTCTGTGACATACCCTGTTCGACTTGCAACTGCAATACTGCGACCAGTCAAGTCGTTGAATGACGCTTCGTCAGAACAATCACAATTCCCTTCTGAAAGCGCGTCATCGAAGCACTGCAGAAATTTCATGAAAATCAGATGGATTCTACGGCATTACCACATGGAGAGTGAACTACCACAAATACGACTCATTTATTGAATGAAAGGAAATCTCGACAGAAGTTTTTCTTTGCAGCAAGTCGGCAAGACAATGACAATCGCTTTTGCAGAGCCTCCTGGTAAGACACAGGCAGCTTGTAGGCACTACAGCCGTTTTCGTACGCATTCGACCTTCATGCCAACTATATTGACCTGAAAACGACGAAAATAGTATGGACCCGCTGGGGTGGGCGTTTTCAGCGAAGTGGGCGTTTGCAGCGAAGTGGGCGTCTGCAGCGAAGTGGGCGTTTCCAGCGAAGTGGGCGTCTGCAGCGCACTTTACGGTACTGGTATCAAAACTTTCAGTGCGTTCTTTTTTTAGGTAAAAATTGTCGGCACCGAAGTTACCGAAATAAAACACCACCGAAAATTTCTGCTTTTAGAGTGTGCAAGCTTTTATTTTTTTTAAGAAAAAGAAAAAAAGCCGAGACTTCCCACTTTTTGATGATTGTAATTGTAGGTGAGTGTAGGGTTTTCCAGGCACAAGAGCACATACACGAACCCTGTTTGTGACCTGTGAATATGCATGCATCCTGTGTGGTGGACGCTCATCAACATCATGATCGTGTGCGACCTCACCAATCACGCACTCAGGTCCACGCTCAGTAAATCGCTCTGCTGACTTGCATTTGTGTGTTGCTGTGTGTGTATGTGTGTGTGTGTGTGAGTGTGTATCTGCGAGTTTGTGTGTGTGTGTGTGTGTGTGCGCGTGTGTGCGCGCACGTGTGTGTATGTGTGTGAACTTGAGTGTGTATCTGCGAGTCTCTGTGTGCGTGTTTGTGTGTGTGTGCGTGCGCACGTGTGTGCGCGTGTGTGCGCGTATGTGTACATGTGCGTGCATGCGCATGTTTCAGTCAGATGTGTCCATGGATATTTCTTGGAAAATCAATGCCTCTGCAGGTCAGGGTACACCGGTGCCAGCTGTGAAACCCGTAAGTGCTGTCGATAAGACCAAGTGCTTCACGGGCAACAGTATTTTGCCAACGTATGACGGTTGATAAGGGATTGTCTTGCGTGCTTGGGCAGATACCACCTGGTCTTCTTATCAGCACGCCATTGGAGTCTGGATAAAACCAGGCTGGGCAGAATGAGGCTCGGATCATCACATTGCTCCTTTGATTCTCTTTGCAATCTCCAAACTGCATAGCACACACACCATACCGTGGAAGCCCCGTATCAACGCCCACCCAGTATAGCGCCCCCTGCTAGTGTACACGCCCAGGCGCCCGGTTTCAACGCTCCTGTCCCAATTTTCCAGCCCACCCCCGTGTAAATGCCCCGGAGAGAGAGAGCACAGACCCAGTGTACAGTACACTGCACTGCACCGTGTACTTGCATGTACAATGATAGATAGTATAGAGTACAGTACACTGTGCTAACTGTGTGCTGTAAGTCGACAAATATTCGGCGCATACTGTAATTTCACAAATTTTCGGTGTACATTTATTTTCGGTACTTTCGGTGCGTCTGTTTCATACCTAAAATTTCAATACACCGAACAAACACTAACACACATAATGCAATAGGGAACTGCTTCTCTGTACCGAAAATTTCTGTTCACCTAGCCTAGCCTGTTGCCCTCATACCGAAAATATTGAGCACAGAAAATTTCTGAAATTAGAGTGTTCATTTTGGCGATATTCGGCCTGGTCATGTTAGGCCGAAAATGTGTTGTGGCAGAAAATTTGTTCTGCAAGGTTCAGTGTGACAGTGTATACAGGCAACAGCAGTACAGGCCGAAAATATAATGCGGCCAAAATGGGTTTTAGCCCTGGGAGGCCGAAAATTGAATGGGCCGAACAATTGTCGACTTACATTACGTATGATGGCATGTTGGCGTGAAAATCAGTCTGATCTCGCTTTTCCGTAGCAACGTTCAGGCTCACATTAGCGCCCCGCGCATATTGATGCCCATGTTCTGGACCTTCACTAAAGTTTCCGCCCAGGGCTTCATCACGGGCTATCACAGTGCTCTCGGTGAAATCCGACCCAAATTGCCTTCGCTAATAACGCTAATAACGCCTGCGCATATAACGACCATTCGCGAATAACGACAGAATTTCCATGCCCAGAGCAAAGTCCCATCTAACCGTAATACATATAATGAGACTTCGGGTATAACGACACTTCGCGAATACGGACACTTTTCTGATGCCCGGCCGAGTGTCGTTATATGCAAAGTTGACTGTAGTTGTCGACCTCGATTTGCATGGTCCTCGACACCCCGGAAGTGGCATGACTGCAGCTGAACATAAACAAATACAATGATGTAGTCAGGACTTGTCTAGCGGGCCAGCTTTGCACTTTGCATTGGATTTCAGTGAGGGCCACTGCATATGGCAATAGGCGGGCGGGTTAGCTCGAGTGGAGATATTGATCTGATGGGCGATCTCCAGTTGAGAACTTGATTTGATGGCTTATCCCCCCAAGTGGAGATATTAAAAGACCTGATGGCTAGCTGGAGTTGCCACATGTTAGCCAGCTTGCCATGTACGGTCAGCAGAGATTGTTAGATAGGGTCAGTTTGTCCTACTCTCCTACCATTGTCTTCCCTTATTCTTTTCGAGCTGGTTATGTGAGCATAGCAAAAAATTTAAAAAAAGTTGAACTCGGAAAAAGAAGAAGAAAAACGTGATCTCTGTTACTTTTTAGGTTTCTTCTTCATTTGGTGACTCTCCGAACGCATCTGTCGTGAATATGTATCACGAATCCGCGTTACGCTCATTATTATGTCTTTATTTGTTTATGTGTTACATCATGTTGAGGTCATGCTGAGGTCATGCTGCACTTATCGCGTGCACCATTTTGCAGCTCTCAGCCCGGAGCATGCGCAGCGAGCCTGGGGCTCCTTTTCCGCTGCCTTTTCCCTTTTGCATGCTTCACTTGTCTCTACTTGTCTCAACTAACTAGAACTTGTCTCAAAATAAGGTTTTCTGGTGACACTCCTTTTCAAGTCACCTAATCCTTTCGAGTAACAAGTGCAATGTCGTTCCGTGAACCGGAACCACTCCATATTTGAGTTACCAAGACGTATTTGTGCGTGGCTATACAAGCTCTCCCACTCAACAGTTCAAAGTTGCGCACAGCATCCGTCAAACACCGTAAGCATGCTCCTTTATGCAAACTTGATGTCATAATGCCATTGCTGCTGCTGCTGCTGCTGCTGTTGCCTTTGTTGTCCCAGTTTTGCAGGAGACTGCCTGCCTTGCGAAGACCACTCCAGGACTTTGCCCTCTAACGAACTGCAAGAATGATGAGAAGGACCCTTACAATGTTTATCACTGTGACAAAGGTAAGTTATTCGTTTTTCAACACTTTCCTACACAGTGTAAGCCTTCCTCGGCTCCGATGGCGTGCGTCTCGCGTCGTGCGTGCCGAAAAGCCGAGCCGTGGTCAACTTTCGCGACAACGGTTTCGTGATTGATTGCCGTAGTGTAGCGTGCCGCACACGCACAAAGATTTTTGTATGTGTGTATGTTGTTGTTGTTGTTGTTGTTGTTGTTGTTGTTGTTGTTGTTGTTGTTGTTGTTGTTGTTGTTGTTGTTGTTGTTGTTGTTGTTGTTGTTGTTGTTGTTGTTGTTGTTGTTGTTGTTGTTGTTGTTGTTGTTGTTGTTGTTGTTGTTGTTGTTGTTGTTGTTGTTGTTGTTGTTGTTGTTGTTGTTGTTGTTGTTGTTGTTGTTGTTGTTGTTGTTGTTGTTGTTGTTGTTGTTGTTGTTGTTGTTGTTGTTGTTGTTGTTGTTGTTGTTGTTGTTGTTGTTGTTGTTGTTGTTGTTGTTGTTGTTGTTGTTGACTTTTATTTTACTTCACCAATTGCACAGGCATGATTGCCTTCTTACCGGCCTATAGGTCCGGTTCTCACAGAAAGATGAAGGAAATTATATGAGGAAATGTATAGAGATAAAGACATGCAAGCGGTATAGTTATTATTTTGGAAATGTTTGTTATGACATTGAGTGTATGCTGACACTCAATTTGTGTGAATTTTTAAATTGCGATAACAAATAATAATGAAGTGGAAGCATTTCATGAATATATATGCGTGACCATTGGCAGACTTTGTTGGATGGGCACAATTTTTAGCAGTCCAGGGAACATGAAGTACAGCGAGAGGTGTTTGACTGTTGGCATAGAGTTTACAAGTTAAGTAGGTCAATATCAGATAGGGCTCTCTTGAATTGATCGGCAGCAGTTGTCGATCTGACATCAGCCGAGAGGGCGTTCCATGCAATACTGCCGTGAAACATCATACTCGAGCGACCAGCAGGCCCGCAAAGGAAAGGGACTTGGAGCAAGTTGGAGACGTGGCCCCTAGTGATGCGCTGATCGTTAAGCACAGTGTTTGGAGCAGTCGTTGTAAAGAGTTGCTGTAGGAGTGGGCTACAATATCCATTGATAAAGTGGTGTACAAAAAATAGAATTTTCTGAGTGTATGTGTGTGCCGTCAGGCGAAATTACTGGTCAGTCGGCGACACGCATTTTTCACAAAAATTTGCGTTTCACCTGCTGGGAGAGTATGCGTGTACTCGAGTCTCATCCTGAGCACGTTTTTTTCTTCTTTTTTCAGCTCCAGTATAGCTGTATTTTTCATTGCAAAGCCGTCCTCGATTGTTGTGTTCGTTGTTCAAACGAAGTGGACATTCAATCATGAAGGCAGAGAACATAGGAGCCTGATTGGAGTTTCTCGTGGCATAGGACGGCCACACAGAGACACTTTGGGATTTTCTGAATATAAAATACCGTACGCACGATGCTGAGATCAATTTGTGCGATATCAAATAATTGTTTGTGATCTACCACATCGAGCAGAACGGGATCCAAACACAAGCTTACCGACGGTTAGGCTGCCGACCTGACTGGACAAATGATCCCTGGCTTCACCAGACGCCAGAAGTCGGACACCATGTCCTTTGCCGCGACGTCCATCTCCAAAAAGAACTCCATCTTCGTCGTGAAAAGGCTTGAAATACTCAATATTCAACCGAGATTCGCGGTCTCACCCTTTCTCAGATCGAATCATTTTTTGTTGTAGCAGTTGCAGGGCAGATCCCCGCCACTACTTCAACAGGCGATGGCTCCAAAGCATGCCTGGAACAAGCCATATCGAGGTTGCAAGCCACCCCTCTCAGCAAAAAATTCGAAGAAATTCGAAATTTCAATGGTGGCAGATGTACTATGAAGAGAATTTCAAAAAGTATGTTTCGCGGAGCGATCGCTCAACCTACGTCATTCAAACTTTGCAGGATGGTTCAGACGTACATGCTAGTCATGGAACCACAGGCGATGATGCCATAGCTGACACACAGAGTAACACACACAGCAGATTCGTGTGCACAGATACTAAATTAGTGGACGTCGTCATCTTCTTCCCGCTGATCTCGAATGTACTATGACATGCTATTTCGCCTGACGCCAGGCTGACAATACTAAGAAGTGCCAGAAGCAGTGGGGTGGGGGTGAGAAAGCGCTGTTGCAAGGTTGCACGAATGCCGGCTTTGAAACTCTTCTCCAGACATCCAAGCAACTGGGCAGAAAGCCCAGGAACAAAGCTATTCGAACCATAGCATAGCTAAGACAGGACCATGCTGAGGAACCAAGTGCGTCTTGCACAAACTGAGTCCTCTGAGTCCTCCAGAGCTGGCCAATGGTCCTAGCAGTCTTGCGGCTCAGGTACGCAATTTGGGGCTTCCAGGACAGCTCCTCATCGAGTATTACCTCGAGATACTTAGCCGAAGGTGTGACAGCGAGTTTGTCAGCATGGCAGAACACCTCAGGCTGTGTGTCATCTGCGCCACGGGGCATTATGAAGAGAAGCTGAGTTTTTGCTGCATTCAGCAGCAAACCAATATATTCTAGCCACGTGGCGAGGCTTGTGATGGCATGGCTGAGGGTTCGGCATACTTCAGTGGGGTCGGGGTCTGAGCAGTCGAGAGTAATGTCGTCCGCAAATTCTTGGTGGTTTACCGCTGGTGGCAGGATCGTGCTCAATGTGCTAGTGTACAAGACAAATAGCAGGGGGCCAAGAACGCTGCCCTGTGGGACACTTCGAGAACAAGAAACGGCAGGAGAGATGTCCTTGAACTCTGATCTGCTGGAAGCGGCCTGAGAGGTAATCGGCAAACCAAGTGAGTGGGGTACCAGATATGCCAAGAGAGAAGAGTTCAGTTAGAAGACACTCGTGCTGAACGCGATCAAACGCTTTTGACATGTCTACGAACACAACTCCAGTGTACTCTCGTCGAGATGTGGCTATAGTCAGTTTCAAAAAGATTAGCAATCCTGGCGATCGCCCGGGGAGTTTGCCGTCTTACCGTATGAGCGCTCGAGGGCTGCCTGGAAAAACTCACTGTGAACTCGAAGAAATATTCCGCGCGAAAGCATGAAAAATGACAACTCACTGACGTCGGTACTCGTACATGACTTTGTGTTCGTCTGGTTTACAACAAACGAGTTCTTCCTCGTATCGATATGGAGTCAGAGAGGACATGTCGAAAGTCTGGTAAATTTTGACGAGCGGGATGCGTCCCAATTCGTTTTGTGACCAAATAGATTCTTTGAGCTGCCGTGGATGCAATTTACTCTCACGATGTGACGAAAACGGCATTGACACAGACTCATTCCCAAGGCCTTGATGTGGCAAAGCTATCCGTGTGACTTCGACGACATTTTGAGAAAAGCAGACGCCTGTGAAAGCTGATAGAAGACGGCGTTGACTCCTAAATTCAAATAAATTGGCGATCTTGAAATACTAAAATAAATTCACAACTTCACATGGCGTGAGCCAGTCAAGTGTCAGTCAGTTCGGCAGGAAACGCGAGCTCCAACAACAAGTCGTTTGGCGCAGCCACCTTCTTTGTCTTGACTCTTGTACAAAAATTGTACCAGCGTGATCACCAAAACAATGAAAAAATGAAGAGAAAATGTTTGACTTGAAGATTTGCTGGGATTTGAACTCACAACTTCTTGGTCAGCAGACAGCATTCATAACCACAAGGCCAAAAAGGAAGGGATACATCGTGGGTTTTGATAACAAATCGATACTGGCTTCCAGGGCAAATTATAAACCATGGGAAAAGGCAAGAAACCTGGCCGAGATTCTAACTCCTTAACGGTTGGTCCTATTGTTCTGAAACCTTCACAGAACAATTTGCCATGCCCTAACAAGCCATTTTATGTACTTTGTTGTCCAAATTTGCCTGATCTTCATACTTTTTAAAAGACCCAAACTTGATTGCTAATCTTTTTGAAACAGACTGTAGAGACCATCTGTTGACTGCGAAGACAAGTGCATCCTCTGTGGAGTGTTGTTGTTGTTGAAATTTTATTTTTGTATCGCAGACCAAACGGGCAATGGTGCCCAATATTATGATGGCGATAAAGTAACGGCCGAGAGCCAAGGATACAACAAGCAAGCCTCCACGAAAGAGAGAAAAATACAGAAAACACAGACTGCAAATACTCAAAAAGAAAAGAGAAAGGGAAAAAAAGAAGAAAAAAAAAAGAAGAAGAAGAAAGCACAGTTGAGTCACAGTTGAGTCACGACTCCAAGTCCAAGCCTAGATGCTGGCTAACCATAAATATAAACCTTTAAAAGTCTCTTGAATGATCTATGGCAGGCGAGGGACTTGAACTCTTGGGGCAGGTGGGCTGACCATCTTAGGTCGTGCTGAAAGATGATGCCGAGGTGACGATGTTGTGTTACTGTTTCTAGTAGGGTTTGGCCAAGTTTTATTTCGGGTAGTCGTGGTGGGGGTCGGTTAGCATGGTAGAACGGGAGGATGACGGTTTTCGTTTTATTGACTAGCAGGTGCCAGCGCTCTAGCCATTCTGCTGCGGCATCGACGCTTCTTTGTAGCGCAGCCTCACACTCAATGTAGCTGCCTGCAATGGCAATCAGTGCGGTGTCGTCCGCGAACTGGCTACACGAGGTTGTAGCATTTTCACAGGCAGTGGGCAGGTCAATGGTGTACGCCAGGAACAGAAGTGGTCCCAGGACCGAGCCCTGGGGCACTCCCGCTGGTATTGGTATGAAGGCGGATGTTGTGCCTTCAACCTGCGTCCTGTCAAGTAGGCTTCGAGCCAATTGTGAGCCTTGCCGTCAACACCGTAGTGGCTCAGCTTTTTCAGCAAGCCTTGAAGAGGGGACGAACATCCGCAGTCTTCAGAGATGCAGGAACAACACCAGAAGCCAGAGATGCATTGATTAGTATGGTGAGGGACGGTGCAAGGACAGGAGAACAGTGTTTGAGGATTGCAGCTGGAACCTGGGCGCTGCCTGCAGCTTTGCGCACGTCGATGTTGGAGAGCAGCTTAGCAATCTCTTGCACACTTGCTGGAGCAAATTCTTCGAGGCATTCCTTCTTCGTGGGACCCAATGGGGCTGAGAGACGTAGTGGTCTAGTTGGGTCTGACGCAACACCGCTGAATTGGTCACTGAGCTGTGAGACACTGACGGCTGGTGGAACTGAGGACTTGTTACGACCGCTGAGGTAGTTGATGGTCTGCCAGGTTTTTCGTGCGTTGGCCTGACTAGCAGCAAGAAGGTCCCTAAAGTAGGTGGCTCGGAGATGTCGTGACATACGCTTGGCTTCGTCTCGGGCAGAAGTGAAGACATTGCGTAGAGCAGGGTCTGCAGGTGATGCTTTCCACCGTCGATGGGCCGCATCACGTCGCTGGACTAGGTCATGTAGAGCTGGCGTCTTCCAGGGGAAGGATTTCCGGGTAGGAGCGTTTGGGCGGTGTAGACGGATAAGAGCATGAGTGTTCAAGGCAGCGACAAGTTTCTCCAGCCACATATCCCACATTTCATCTTCCGTCCGCGCAAAGCAGAAGTTCTCTAGATCACTATTTAGAAGGTCGTATGCAAATTGACACATATCAATTCTTGCAATGTTACGGCCACGTCGCACTGTCGGTGTGCAGGATGTTGTGAGTCGCAAATCAAGTGCCAGAGCGAAGTGGTCACTGATTGTACAAGGTACCACGACACAAGAGTTCACATGATCGTCTCCGACCAGAGCGAGATCCAGGGTTGTTTGGCTGCCTTGGGGTCCAACTCTGGTAGGACTGTCCACTTGGTTCTTGATGTCGAAAGAATTACACAGGTGCAGCAAGCTGTTTAGCTGGGGGCTGTCGCGGGAGCTGACATCGACATTGAAGTCTCCAAAAAGGACCAGAGGTGACGTGGGAAGTGTGGAGATGACAGTGTCTAGTGCATTCGTCAAGTCTTGCCAGAATTGCACAGGAGTGCCTGGAGGACGGTACACACCACCAAGGAGAACCTTGGAACGCTGCCCACTGACCTCTAACATGAGCATTTCCACCTGGATGTCAGCCTTCACAATTCGGGCTCGGAGATGATCTCTTACATATGCTGCTAAGCCTCCGCCATGAGTTGGCCTGTCGCGTTCGACCAGGGTGTAATTCTGTATGCGTAGGATGTCATCGGAAACAGAGGTTGTCAAGAAAGTCTCTGCTAGCATCATTATAATTATCTACTTTATGGGAAAGAATATAATCTTCAATTTCATGCTTTTTATTGAGAAGATGGCAAACATTTAGGAATCCTATTTTAATTCATGCTGTAGGGGATTTACAGTGGGGCAAACATTTCGTGGCTGAAAGATAGGTGCATGAGGGTTCAAGGGTTGAAAGGGGGCTGCGTGAGGATTTAAACAGAACATTTAGTGCTCCTCTGCAGCTCGACCAGTTGCTACACTGTCAGCCTTGAAGCGCCATTCTCGAACTCTGACATTTGAAGGCCAGAATTCCGGTTCCAGAACAGTAGCTTTTTGTTGTATTGGCAGAATTACGTGAGCAAAGGCCAACCCGAAGTACTTTGTCTCAGACACGGAGCACTTGATGACAGGTATATTTCGGCGTTCACACCATTTGGCGATCGATTCTGATGTACACCCACTATTGACATTGCCCACATACAAAGCGCAACATTTTGTACGGGATCCTCCCTGTAGTTGATCAGAGCGCTTGGGCCGGTTTTCATAGTACGACGTGACCTGAGTGCCTGGCCCTGGGTGACTTGTTTGGGGTCGTGTAGTACTGGCCTGCTGGCTGGGGCCTCCCCATGTGTTATCCCGTGCTCGCACCTGTGACGACTATGCACGTGCCGCCGCGCTGTACAACCTGACGCTGTCAGCAGGCGGTTGTACACGTACGGGTTGAGGTTCAGGTGTGCTAGTTTGTACAGGGTCATGATCAGAGTTCCTTTCTTTGAGAGCCGCCAATTCTCCTCGAAGGGACAACACCTCGAACTGCAAGGCAGAAATTAGGGCTACCTTGGCGGCCAATTCTTTAACATTTTTTGCAATACCGGCCAAAGCCTGCTGAACAACATCGCGCACTTTGTCAGACTGACCTGCTAAATTTGTCGACGAACCAATACCGTTGTCGCGAAGAAGCTTGACTATCTGGGTACGGGACAGTCCCGAGTGTTCCAGTCTGTGACTCTTGGCGAGATGCCGGATCTCCTGATTGTCCATCACAGCAAGGTCTACATCTGCTGGTGCGGTGGGAGACTCCTCAGACGACATTGTCACATCCAGGGGCCGGTTATGCCTACCTCCAGACCGGCCTAGTGCCGGTTGGGCTTAAAAATTTGCAGAGCTCAAAAGTCACAACTGTCCCGTACTCTGTGTTGTTCCCAATAGTGTTGTTTACGATAGGCAAATTGGCTGGTGGGTAGAAGCTGTGCTGATTCGAGATAGGCAGTGAGCTGTTTCTTTACAAATGCCTCCAGAATACGGGAGATGATGGGTAGCAGGGAAACTGGGCGGTAGTTTGTAGGTGAGGTTGGGTCGCCACCCTTAAACAGAGGGGTGACATGTGAGGATTTGAAGGTGGAAGGAAGTTGGACTGTTCTGAGCGAATAGTTGATAATTTTGGTGAGATTGGGTGCCAATATTGAGGAGAACTTGTGTAGAAGTAGGCCAGGCACACCATCACTGCCAGTCGCCTTACTTAGGTCCACAGAACTCAAGCAGGACTCGACGGCAGAAACTGCGACTGGCTGGAAGGCAGAGAAACCACATTGTTGGGTTGGTCCCAAGGGAGCTTGAAGAGTGATGGGACGCGCTGGGTCATGTACGACACAACCAAATGTTTCACTGAGTTCCTGTAAGGATGCCTGTGGGACCTGGGCTTTCTTTTGACGGCCAGTTACAACATTCAACACTCTCCACAGTTTGCGCTGGACAGTCGTTCGGCATTGTTCAGTGAAGAACTGGTTGCGCAGCTTCCTGCCGAGTCGACGGGCCATGGCCCAAGCTTCTCTATGCTGATCACGCAATTGTACATTCGCTTGATCTCTCATGAGGAGCCGGTGTAAATGTATGCGTTTAAGAACTGCACCCACAAGCTCATCAGTCAGCAAGGGGCACGGGCGGCGTGCGCGTTTACGCTGGGGTACCGATGGTGCATACTGGTCTAGTGTGGACATGATAGAAGTGAAAGAGTGAACCATATCATGGATATTGCTGTGGGCATCAAAGTCTTGCTGCTGTTTCCTTTGGGGGTCGATACTGAAAATGTCCCAGTTTACTCGATGGAGACATCTGGTGGTTTTTTACTGACGATGACACGTGCTGGTGTGTGTGAATGGTGTTATGAAATGATGTGTTGTTTTCCTGTGTGATGGCATTCCCCAAACTGTCTCGTCTAGTCGCGTGCATGTGTGATAATAGCATGCGCGATTTTGTAGTCGAGAGTCCTTTTGTCAGTCTTCTTGTTCGTCCCTTTGAGTGTTGTCTCCATTTCCGTAATGTCAATATAAATAATGTAACAAACCAGTCTTGTCCTTTGTGTCCTGCGTCCCGGGGAACGGAATGGCTGAGATTCCGTTACAATGCTCAGCCGGGCCAGCACAGCAAAGTGTGTGTGTGTGTGTGTGTGTGTGCGCGTGCGTGTGCGTGCGCGTGCGTGTGCGTGCGCATGTGTGCATGCGCATGTGCGCGTGCGCATGTGTGCGTGGGCATGTTTGCGTGGGCATGTGTGCGTGCGCACGTGTGTACGTGTGTGTGTGTGTGCCTGTACTTCTCCGCAGGTTTTATGAAAGGATACAGAGTCCACCATGCAAGAAAGAGGAATGATCCACGTACTATCATCTTGCGGCCCACTAAGTCTACCTGGTCGAGTCCCTCCGACCCGGAATTTTATTTCACCCGAGAACAAGGCAAGCGACTGTGCGCCAAATCGGCAACTGAAGTGTACGACTACCAGCTGCTGACCGTGGCCCGTTTCAACAGGTTGTACCATTCTGGGTCGGATTTCCGCAGTGTTCTGCAAAACGCCGGAATGCTGGGCCGCGGCGACCAGGACACGTACCTGCTAAGCGATGGAGTCGCCCGAGTGCAACGTGGAGAGGTGCTCACAGCCGCTGGGGCCCCGCACGATTTAACCGCCATTGGGGCCAGATACAGAGCGGCCTGTTTCCGTAAGTTGTGATGCCCTCTGTGTTGCCAGGCAACGACTATGATTCCTGTTGTATGAGCCCTTTAGCCCCGTACACATTCCCGTATGCACACACTTCCCGTACACATACACATCTGCACATCCCTGTACACACACCCATTCATGCACTCCCCGCTGACCTTTGCCCTGCTGCCCTTTTGCCTCCCTTACTGCATGCACTGCTGACCCCTTTGCCCGCTCAGCCTGTCTCACTAACTGCATGCACCCAATTTTCCCTCCATGGCTTTAGTTATACCCGGAGGGCTGCGCTTGCGCAGTATAGTTCTCACAGTGGTTCTCCTTGTTGTTCTCTGAGTCTTCTCCTTGTAATTATTCCAGTCCCCTCCAGTTCTTTAGTCCTCTTTGTGCTTCTCGAAGTCAATTAATACCGTATTTCCGCGCATATAAAGCCATGGCATTATAGGTGAAACATCGCTGTCTTGGACCAAATATTTGGAGAAAATAGCATCGGTTTTAACGCCATGGCGCTAAAAGTGAGAGACGCGTACATGCAGAAAACGGCAGAGTATGAACTTCGAGTACTCGTATGGTGCCGTTGCACTTTCATGTCGAGCATCCATGTACTTTCAATTTTCCCTGAAAATTTCAAATTGTGAACCTATTGTGTACAAGGTGGCATACAACCTTGTGTGATGGTGTGGTGGCGGTATGGCATGTGACAGTGGGGATGGGTACATGCAGGGAGAATCACCGCTGCTGTAGGTTCACTGAAAGAATTGAACTCACCTTTAACTCCAGATGCTACTTCCTCCACATTGAATTTTGTTCACTTATAACGCCATGGCTTTATAAGTGAGGGTGGCCATGGCTTTATATGCACGGAAATACGGTATAACTATTATAATAACCCATAATTGCGTGCAGTCTGAGATAGCATAAAGAGTGTTATGAAGTAGTAGTAGAGTAGACTACAGTAGTTCCAGTAAGATACCCATATATAGACAACATTGGTTAGACACCATTCCCACTGTGTTGCTAGGCAACTGTTTTGATATGTGTTGGGGTGGGGGTTGGGGGGGGGGGGGTATGTTATGAGAGTACGTCAGGCGAAATAGCACGTCATAGTACATTTGAGATCAGCGGGAAGAAGATGACGACGTCCACTAATTTAGTATCTGTGCACACGAATCTGCTGTGTGTGTGACTCTGTATGTACATATGTCAGCTATGATATCATCTTCTGTGGTTCCATGTCTAGCATGTACGTCTGTACCATCCTGCAAAGTTTGAATGACGTAGGTTGAGCGATCGCTCCGCGAAACATACTTTTTGAAATTCTCTTCATAGTATATCTTCCACCATTGAAATTTCGAATTTTTTCAAAAAAAGTGCTAAGAGGGGTGGCTTGCAACCTCGATATGGCTTGTTCCAGGCATGCTTTGGAGCCATCTTCTGTTGAAGTAGTGGCAGGGATCTGCCCTGCAACTGCTACAACAAAAAATGATTCGATCTGAGAAAGGGTGAGACCGCGAATCTCGGTTGAATATTGAGTATTTCAAGCCTTTTCACGACGAAGATGGAGTTCTTTTTGGAGATGGACGTCGCGGCAAAGGACATGGTGTCCGACTTCTGGCGTCTGGTGAAGCCAGGGATCATTTGTCCAGTCAGGTCGGCAGCCTAACCGTCGGTAAGCTTGTGTTTGGATCCCGTTCTGCTCGATGTGGTATCACAAACAATTTGATATCGCACAAATTGATCTCAGCATCGTGCGTACGGTATTTTATATTCAGAAAATCCCAAAGTGTCTCTGTGTGGCCGTCCTATGCCACGAGAAACTCCAATCAGGCTCCTATGTCCTCTGCCTTCATGATTGAATGTCCACTTCGTTTGAACAACGAACACAACAATAGAGGACGGCTTTGCAATGAAAAATACAGCTATACTGGAGCTGAAAAAAAGAAGAAAAAAACGTGCTCAGGATGAGACTCGAGTACACGCATACTCTCCCAGCAGGTGAAACGCAAATTTTTGTGAAAAATGCGTGTTGCCGACTGACCAGTAATTTCGCCTGACGAGGGGAGATTGTGCGTGTGTGTGTGTGGGAGGGGGGGGGGGGGCTGGGGTTGTACGGGAGAATGATTAGCTGTTGCTTCATTCATGTTCTGTATGTATGTGTGTGTGTGGGGGGGGGGGGGGGGTATGTTACGAGAGTAGGGGGATTGTATGTGTGGGGGGGGGGGGAAGAGGGGGGTTGTGCGGGAGAATGAATAGCTGTTGCTTCATTCATGTTCTGTGTGTGCGGGGGGGGGGGGGTATGTTACGAGGGTAGGGGGGGATTGTGTGTGTGGGGGGGGGGGGGAGAGGCATTGTGCGGGTGAACGAATAGCTGTTGCTTCATTCGCGACCCCGGTAAGGATTGTTCGGGTTCCGTATGTTTCTTGTCCCCTAGGTGTGGATTGCGGTGGTATAGGCTGCTTTTGTGAGGATGATAGGTTCAAGGGTACTAACTGTGATCAGCTGATCAAGAAACGCGGTGAGTTTATTATTCATATCAATCTACTGTGTGATTGGAACAATAGGCATTATCTAAGAAGCACGTAGTGTGTGTGTGTGTGTGTGTGTGTGTGTGTGTGTGTGTGTATGTGTGTGTGTGTGTGTGTGTGTGTGTGTGTGCATGTGTGTGCGTGCGTGCATGTGTGTGTGTGTGTGTGTGTGTGTGTGTGTGTGTGTGCGTGCGTGTGCGTGTGCGTGTGTGTGTGTGCGCGTGTTCGTGCGTATGTGTGTGTGTGTGTGTGTGTGTGTGTGTGTGTGTGTGTGTGTGTGTGTGTGTGTGTGTGTGTGTGTGTGTGCATGTCTGCATGTGTTTCTGTGTGTCCGTGTGTCTGTGTGCGTGTGGTTGTGGCTGTATGCATTCATTTCAAATATGGGTTGAGATAGAAACAGGAGTCATACTTCTAGACACACCGGAATTACACACCAGAAGAACACACCGGAATGACTTGGCATAGGTAGGAGTAAGGACATTTATCATGGGAGACGAAGAGACGGAGACAAAGGCGAAGACTGCATTACGGAAGAGAGAGAGAGAGAGAGAGAGAGAGAGAGAGAGAGAGAGAGAGAGAGATCGAGTGAGAGAGAGAGAGAGAGAGAGAGAGAGAGAGAGATCGAGTGAGAGAGAATGCAAGATAAAGGGCCTTGGTAGCTATGGTTATTATAAGGCGCGCAAGTAGCTACCATGGCAACCAGACCAAAAGGTGAGTACGAGGGTAAGTACGAGGGCGCAAGCAGGCCAGCTTGGAAAAAGGTTGTGGAATGTACGGGAGGACGAACCTAACACCTGCAAAGATATTTTGTCTGCGCGGACAGTCAATATCCAGAAGTATCCCTTTGTTGAGACTTTAAGCAATACTAGCACTCTGATTATGATATGCTCACCATTCAGTGATGTGTTCTCACTGATGATTATCACAAGAAAACATTCTTAGATCGAAAAACTGTTCCATGATGATAGGTGTAGAAGAAAGAAGAAAAAAATTCGACCCGGCTAGCGGACGAGTTTTCCGCATCAGTAGGAATGCCACCAGGCGCAAATGCAGCTCCTAAAGCGGTGAGAGGTGAGTAGATCGGCTCACCAGCACGTAGAAGCATGGCTAGTGTGTAATAGAATGACCGCGCAATGTATTCTTGTTCTTTTGTCCACTTTTTCTTTACAGACAATGGACATCTCAAATACAGTTTTTCTGGAGTGCCTGATTTGGGAGGACAACTCGTGGTGTTTGGTAGCGAACATCACTTCCACCACAACCAGGCAGAGCGAATGTGCAGAGATGCCAATGCACAACTGGCAGATGCAGAGCTCATGAAGACTAAATGGGGAGCCGTGATCCTCAACAAACTGCAGAAGGTGAACCACCGACGGGTATATTCGAGTGAGTCGCATTACTGGCTGCAGGGCGGAGAGACAATCCAGCCGAGTCGTGCAACGCAAATTCAAGATGGTAGTCGTCAAGCTCGAGCTCGCCTTCTCTGCATCCGTAAGTCTACAACGCCTTATTCAAGGCTCGGATTGGATTGGTTTATTTACTGTCGAAGAACAAACCGGCAGTGTTGCCTTATTACGATTCGTGAATGGAATCGCGCCGTTCGATTCCACGTCATGAGCCCTGGAGTCGATTCGGAATCCATTCACCCTATTCACATGGGGTGATGCGAAAAGCGCGAATCGATTCACGAATCGATTCATGAATTGATTCGCGGGCATAAACGAACGCACTCAGTGCATTTCCGATCCCAGCGACCTCGCGTGCATCACTCATTCACTTCACATTGTGGCAATGCGCAATGCGTATATTCACCATGGGATTCTTATCTAGATAGTAGCTGGAACAACTACCGTACGGGGGACTAGGCGAACTATTTGGCTTTGCCTGTACGCATCATTCGTCTGTGTGAGTGGGTATGTGCGGCGGGGGCTTGGCCCTGTGTATCTGTGCTTCTGTGCGCATGTTCAATTCGGTATGTATGTGTGCATGCGTGCGTGCGTGCGTTTGTGTGTGTGTTTGTGTGTGTGTGTGTGTGTGTGTGTGTGTGTGTGTGTGTGTGTGAGCATGTGTGTGTGTGTGTGTGTGCGTGCGTACGTGTGCGCATGTGCGTGTGTGTGTATGTGTGTGTGTGAGTGTGTGTGTGTGTGTGTGTGTGTGCGTGCGTGCGTGCGTGCGTGCGTGCGTGTGTGTGTGTGTCCCATATGGTGCAGTGGTATGTGCAGCGATTTCCAATCGATAGGTTGCGGGTTCGATTCCCGACGATTATGGTCACACACGTCTTTCTTCTCTTTCTCAGACTCTTCCTGACTTTTCTTTCTTTCTCCTGGGTGGTTACCAACAGCCAGTGTATGCCGTAGTATGTGGTGTGGTGTGTGTGTAGAAAAAAAGAAAGAAAAATGGAAAAATGAAAAATAGGGATTCACTGGCCAGAAAAAGTCACTTCAAACAGCTGTGTGGTGGATACCAGGCTAAAAATAGTGGCGGTCAATTCATCAGCCTTGCAAGCTGTTGAATGGTGTAATCCCAGCACAAGAAAGTTGCTATGCTATCATCGCTCCCGCGATGGGCATGTCTGAGGTCTGAGGTGTGTGTGTGTGTGTGTGTGTGTGTGTGTGTGTGTGTGTGTGCGTGCGTGTGTGTGTGTGTGTGTGTGTGTGTGTGTGTGCGCGTGTGTGTCCCATATGGTGCAGTGGTATGTGCACTCGATTTCCAATCGAGAGGTTGCGGGTTCAATTCCCGACAATTATGGTCGCACACGTCTTCTTCTCTTTCTCGGACTCTTCCTGACTTTTCTTTCTTTCTCCTGCGTGGTTACCAACAGCCAATGTATGCCGGAGTATGTGGTGTGGTGTGTGTGTGTAGAAAAAATGGAAAAATGAGAAATAGGGATTCACTGGCCAGAAAAAGTCCCTTCAAACAGCTGCTAGAGTGGTGGATACCAGGCTAAAAATAGTGGCGGTCAATTCATCAGCCTTGCAAGCTGTTGAATGGTGTAATCCCAGCACAAGAAAGTTGCTATGTCTAACAAAGCTGTTCGCTATCATCGCCCCCGCGATGGGCATGTCTGAGGTCTGAGGTGTGTGTGTGTGTGTGTGTGTGTGTGTGTGTGTGTGCACGCGTGTGTGTCCCATATGGTGCAGTGGTATGTGCAGTCGATTTCCAATCGAGAGGTTGCGGGTTCAATTCCCGACAATTATGGTCGCACACGTCTTTCTTCTCTTTCTCGGACTCTTCCTGACTTTTCTTTCATTCTCCTGGTTGGTTACCAAGAGCCAGTGTATGCCGGAGTATGTGGTGTGGTGTGTGTGTAGAAAAAAGAAAAGAAAAAAAGAAGGAAAAATGGAAAAATGAAAAACAGGGATTCACTGGCCAGAAAAAAACCACTTCAATCAGCTGTGTGGTGGATACAAGGCTAAAATTAGTGGCGGTCAATTCTTCAGCCTTGCAAGCTGTTGAATGGTGTAATCCCAGCACAAGTTGCTATGTCTAACATAGCTGTTCGCTATCATCGCTTCCGCGATGGGCAGGTCTGAGGTGAGGTGTGTGCATGTGAGCGGGGGCTGGCATGTGCGTGTGTGTGTGTGCGTGTGTGTGTGCATGTGCATGTGCGTGCATGTGCGTGTGTGTGTGCGTGTGTGTGTGTGTGTGTGCCAGCTAGTTCGGTTGGTGGGTGCACTTAGGCCAGATAGTGCTGGGCCTGTTGCCAACGGGCTCGGCTGCTTGAAGGTGTATTGTTGTACCTACCACCTTTGTTGGTTTCAGGGTTCATTATACTTTCTGTTTGAAGTATACATACCTGTTAACCATGGACTGCTTCTGGCTAGATTAACTCTTGTGTAATCAATGGTGCTAGTGAAGCTTATATCAGATCCACTCTGATTTAGCCACCCACACTAGTAGCAAGTATTACCTTCACTGGGGGCAGGGATACCTGCAGTTGGATCCCAGGACGGATACCCTGATGCCGTCAATCCTTTTTCTGCACCTTGTCCTCACCCACTTACTGAGGTGTGGTGAGCCCATAAGTGGGATCATTTTAAGTCCACCCTAGTTTGGGGATGTCAGGGGGTGTCGGCCGTTAGGTGATTCAATGGCCAATTGAGTCATCTTTCCACGATTCCTTTTGAGTCTCTCTCCCCTCTCCTGGGGAGACCCACGTGACCAGTTTTGGCAGTGAGCAAGCTAGAAAGAAAGAAGAAGTACAAGTACAAGTGTGTGTGCGTGATGTAAGTGCGCCCATAGTGATGATAATAAGTTGTGTTTTTAAACATCCCATGCAGGCTTCTGCATGAATGGACATGCCGTCAACAGGGGCACCTGGCGTTTCTGCGTGTGCCGCAAAGGCTTCACTGGGAAACAATGCCGAATAAGTAAGTTCTCTTAATAATAATATTATTACTTATGCTGACCTTTCATACAAACTTCCAGTCAACTTGCCCATCATGCTGGCGGCTTATACTGGGCATATAAACCTCATACAAACCCCATACAAACCCCATATAGACTTCCACCATAGAAACAGGAAGAAGTTGACAGTCAGTTTGTATGAAGGTCAGCATAAGTATAATACATCCCACTAGTATGCTTGTACGTGAAATATAAACCATCATACAAATCTCGGCTTCGCCTCGGTTTGTATGATGGTTTATATTTCACGTACAAGCGAACTGTTGGGTTGTATTATATACTCAATACTCATATGAGAATTATCGCATTCTTGTCTCAGAGGAAACTGTTTAATTATTACATAACCAGTTGATTATATGGAAAATGTAAACCGGTATACAAACCTAGGTGACGCCGAGGTTTGTATACCGGTTTTTATCACTCTCTTATCACATGGCACGTGATTGTTGCCCGTACTCCAGCGAATCAGCACCTTTCGCGCCGCGGGCAATAATATGCGATATTGCCCGCAAAAAAATAGTTTATTTGCCCGCAAAAAAATAGTTTATTTCAGTGATCGCGTGACTACGACGACTCTGTAGACTGTACGACTCTACGACGAGTCGCAGTGTAGCATTGAGACGAAGATGGAATTCTTTTTGGAGATGGACATCCCGGCAATGGACATGGCCTCGGACGTCTGCCGTGTGGTGCTTGCAGGGATCATTTGTTCAGTCATGTTGGCAGCCTGACCGTCGGTAAGCTTGTGGATAAGATTCAGTTCTGCTCGAAGTGGTACTGTGATCACAAACTATTATTTGTAATAACACAAATTCAACTCAGCGTCGTGCGTTTTCAAATCCTCGCAAAGTCACTGCCTGTGTGTGGCCTTCATGTGCCACGCAAAACTCTTACCAGGCTCATCTGTCCTCTGCCTTCACCTTTGCTTGAACAACAAACACAACAATTCAGGAATGTTTTGCAATGAAAAATACAGCTATCTGGAGCTGAAAAAAAGAAGAAAAATTGTCCTCAGAATTACACACCAGGGAGTCGTCAAATACTTGCACTTGTTCCAGTACTGTATTTGACAACTTCCTGATACACATGTAAACATGAAGAAACTCTTTGTGGTAGCACTCTTAATTTTTCAACTGAAATTATGATTCTGCTGTATTTTATTGTCGTTGCCATGTCTATTGCTATGACGATGCGGTGCCGGCACTTTTTTTCTGTCTCCGTCTTTCAGTACTGTACACTCTCTGATGGCCTGTAGCAGACTTTTTGTTAGGGTGTAGGAGAAATATCTTCATTTTTCCTGTTTTGATAATGATAGCACATCTATATACATTGTGGTCATAATGTGTTGGCATTTGGGCTAATTTCAACAGCAGCCCAATGGTCTGCTCTGTGGGCCATGTGATAAATTTGTTATCGCATGGTTGCTGCGGGCCTTATGGCATATTATTGCCCCTCGAGGTTAGCCCTCGGGCCTACGGCCCTCGGGCTAACCTCTCGGGGCAATAATATGCCATAAGGCCCTTGCAACCATGCGATAACATACTTATTATTGACCCCCACAGAAACTTGTGATCTTTAAGCGGTCAAATATCAGCATAATATATTGACCGCTTATATGGACCACTTAATATTGACCACTTAGCCCGAGGACTTAGAACCTTTTCCTCAACTTAGAAAAAAAATCAGAACTGAAAGAAGAAAAATCTGAAGGCAAATGTTGGGATTTGAACACAAACTGTCAGATTCATACATTACCAAGAGTACAATAATCCCCAGAGTGTGCAACGCCTGATCCAGCTCTGCATAGGGTCTTGGTCGAGCGGAATCGGATCTTTGCGTCATAATACCGTACAAATCTGAGGGGAACCCGGGGAGTCGCGGGTACTCTTGGATCAAAAACAATGGTGCCCTGCCTCGAGACCGGCCTTGCACTGGTGTGGAGTGTACGTATGACATCAGAAGATCCGATTCCGCTCGACCAAGACCCTATGTAGAGCTGGATCGGCGTTGCACAGTCTGGGGGGGTTATGTACTCTTGATGTCACGTGCCTTTTGTCAGGTCGTTGCTAGCATTTGACCAATCAGAGCAGCACCATACCAGGGCATTATCAGACGATAATGCACGGGTACGTCGTACCCATGCCCATCAGGAATGGCCCCAGGCGTACTACATACGCTGGTGCACTGCCAAATATGCAACAAGCCATGCCTTTTACGGCAGTGACCTGGTACATAATTGGCAGTACTCCAGCGCACGTAGAACACATGGGACCATCCCTAAGGACACCACATGCACTCGCACACACCACACAAAACGAAACTACTTACATGCACCGTCCAAAACAACTATATTTTACTAGCAATGTCGACATAGGAAATTGAGGCCACATGCCACCTACTGCTCTTTTCTCTCCGAAACTCAACACTTGCAAGCCAGATGTCGACATAGGAGAAGTAATTTATAACAACGTGACAATAGGACACAGTATGTCATTACCATGCATTACTAAATTCAAGTCAATTGAGGCGAACAAGTCGACAGGTGAACATGCATCACAAAGTTACCTATCTGGAAGAGATCAGATTGTATCTCGAACTCCTACAAAATATACAGTTACATCTACATGTACATGTACTTCAAATGTGCCTAGCTACATATCCAGTGTACATATGGACGTTGTAACGGAATCACAGCCATTCCGTTCCCCGGGACGCAGGACACAAAGGACAAGACTAGTTTGGTTTACATAATTATTATTGACAAGACGGAAATGGAGACAACACTCAAAAGGACGAACAAGGAGACTGACAAAAGGACTCTCGACTACAAAATCGCGCATGCTCATATCACACATGCACGCGACTAGACGAGACAGTTTGGGGAATGCCATCACACAGGAAAACAACACATCATTTCACAACACCTGCCCCCTTGATGACATTCCACAAAATAATAAACCGACACCACGTTCCACATGCACAACAGCAAAAGGAACCACAGCAGAAGAGAAAAACGAAAACCAACCATCAACCTAGAGCCGACGCTCTAATCTCCGGGCCACGAAACAGGGCCAAACAAAAACCTAGAGCCGACGCTCTACGACCAGGCCACGCCACACAAGGCCAACCGAAACACGGGGGCCCGAAGCTCCAACAAAATAATAACATGCGCACACCCGCACCAAATAAATCTACAACAAAAACAATGGAGAACAACAGAACGAATAGTAGAGCAACAGACCGACAACAACCAAACTGAAACAACACAGCAACAAGCAACGAACTGAACAGAGAGAGAACAACACAGCGAGCAAGACAACAAGACGAACAACAAGGACGACACACAGTCGGTGACGCCAGACTCGTCCACTGTCCTCTGGCGAGCCACGGCCACACGCTCTGTCGCGGTTCCTGCCGTCTCAGGCTCCAGTCCACAGTGACTGTTCTAGTCATCACCTTCTCTGCCTCCTCTCCGCGTCGTCTTCCGCTTCCACCAGCTCCTCGTCTCTCCTCCATCCCCACGCTTACTCTCTAGTTGTACTATTACTTGTATTAGTTGTTGACGACGACGAACAGACTCATGACAAACTTACTCATCCTCTGCGTCCCGGGTTTCGGCACCACGTTGTAACGGAATCACAGCCATTCCGTTCCCCGGGACGCAGGACACAAAGGACAAGACTAGTTTGGTTTACATAATTATTATTGACAAGACGGAAATGGAGACAACACTCAAAAGGACGAACAAGAAGACTGACAAAAGGACTCTCGACTACAAAATCGCGCATGCTCATATCACACATGCACGCGACTAGACGAGACAGTTTGGGGAATGCCATCACACAGGAAAACAACACATCATTTCACAACAACATCAAGTAAACTGAAAGCAATGCGAACACAATCTCAGATGTATGGGAAAAAGTATCATTGTTCCGAATAAGAACACTTACAATGTACTCTCAAAACTACTAGTAGTCTAATTACTAGTGCCACTTGGTCAAGGATGTTTGCGTCCAACGTCAACTCCAAAGCAGCAGCGAATCAGCTAACTCCCGTACTGTCCAATAGGCAACACTAACACCGAAATGCAAAGGCATATTCCTGGAACTGCAAGTAAATCTGACACAAAACGTTCTATCATTCCACGGAGAAAGCTCCTTCCGATCTTGTTCGACCCTTCATTCATATGACAGCTGATTGGAACCTTCCTCCTCCCTTGACCATGTTTACCTTATTTGTCTACAACTAGGCACGTGGCATGTATGAACTATAATAAACACATGGTGCGTCGTGCATTATGACTGATTGTATGCCCTAGTGCGTAGCCCTCGGTCGTGCACCGTAGCCCGCGGGCCTGCGGCCCTTGGGCTACGGTGCACGACCTCGGGCTACGCGCCAGGGTATAAATCAGCCATAATGCCCTCCATACCATGTGTTAATAATATACTTCTCAGTCAAAGAACTTGGGGAACATACTACAAGTGACAACTGAAAACTTCTGTTTACACAGAAGTAATGTCCAATGTAAACGGCATAATTATGTATATACTATGTACTATTACAATAGTATTCATTTCTTCCTATAAACACAGCTAAAAACAGTTTAGGTATGCTATGTCGTGATAAATCTATTATTGCCCTCATAATCGGTCAATATATGAAATATAGACCTCGTAAAAGCCCTGGGGGGACCTCGGTCTTTTACTCGTTCTATATTTCATATATTGACCTCTTTAATCGTGCAATAATAGATACATATTTCCCAAATAAACAACTGCGTAGGGTATAATACCCTTATTGATCTGTATACAAACTCCAAAATAATAATATACAAACTCCCCTCTCTCCCACAAACGTACAGATTGGAGTTACAACAGTTGAACCCACAGCCATGGCTCGACAAATGTTTCTTTCGCCAACCTGTGCGTAGCAAGTACAAGACTAGTACCACGAACTACTGTGTTTAACAATGGGTTTTGACAGTGTGTTTGCCAGTGGGCATCTCGGCATCCCCATCCTTTTAAGTCAAAACGGATCCTCCCAGAGATGCCACCTACACTTGTCTTCGGTAGACTTTTTTTTGACGTTTAGTACTCTTGTTGGATGATTGCCTATGTGTAGTAGTGTGTGAAACTTGAGAGTCACGACAAAGTGCTTCGCCCTCTTCTTCTACTGGTTGGACTAATCACAATTGTGTTGGTGGGTTTTGCTGTGTTCTTTAACAGGGGTCTGCGTGCATGGCACGCCCAACAGCAAAGGAGGCTGCAGCTGTTTACCATACTTTAAGGAGCCAGGCTGCGCCGAGCGCACATCATGTAAGAACATGGCGGTCTTGCTGCCGTCTGCGCCAGTTGTTATACCTACAGTTGGGCTGGGCGAAATCCGACCCGAAGTACAAAACTGGCGTCCTGTACCAGTGTTTTGAGAAAATCATTATATTGGTGCGTGTGTACGTTCAGCCGCCGCATTTGCGCCACTTCCAGGGCGCCAAGGGAGCAAGCGTGAAAGTTGAGGGAGCGAAATCTGTACTCTGGGTTGAATTTCACCGAGCGCAATTGCAGATTGAAAGTTTTACAATTCACCCCTTTTTCCATGCTGTGGGTGTGTTCACGTGCTGTTTAGCATGAGCAGATTGGTCCAGCACCTACACACACAGCACATTGTAATGCACTCTGAACATTGATTGTTAGAAGAAAGGACCAGTAAGTTGTGAGTTATGACTGGCAGTCCACCAAGCTAACGAGATATTATACAGTCAGATAGTGCGACTACAAGGCACAACACTGACACAGGGACATTGAGACCTTCAACGGCCTGATGGAGGGGTGTCCGGGCATTGAATGAATGCTGGTCGCTAGTGGACAGGTCGCAGCACCCTGCAGTGGGAAAAGGGTTACTGCATAGAAGGCTGTAAGGACAACTGTGCAATGCGCATGCATTCAAGCGGAGCCGCAGGACACGAACCGTACAAACGAAAATCCGGTGGAACAGAAAGTGAGTAAATGTCTCTACTCACGAGTTTTAAGCTGAAAATCAATCCTCAGGAGACGGGGGCTAGTAAACCTACATGTACAAACTGCTCTCACAGCAGCACTCAAAAGGAACGGATAAATCCCTCAAACCATTAAGTGAATAAATTAGAATAGAAGAAATGCGTGCTTTCTGACTGCTTATCATCTTGTAACAGTCATGGATATAGGGTTACCGTGCCTGCATCTGTATAGGGTTGCATGTGTACAGGGTTACCGTGCCTGCATCTGTACAGGGTTACCGTGCCTGCATCTGTACAGGGTTACCGTGCCTGCATCTGTATAGGGTTGCATGTGTACAGGGTTACCGTGCCTGCATCTGTACAGGGTTACCGTGCCTGCATCTGTACAGGGTTACCGTGCCTGCATCTGTATAGGGTTGCATGTGTACAGGGTTACCGTGCCTGCATCTGTACAGGGTTACCATGTGTACAGGGTTACCGTGCCTGCATCTGTATAGGGTTACCATGCCTGCATCTGTACAGGGTTACCATGCCTGCATGTGTATAGGGTTGCATGTGTATAGGGTTACCATGCCTGCATCTGTACAGGGTTACCATGGTTACCGTGCCTGCATCTGTACAGGGTTACCATGGTTACCGTGCCTGCATCTGTACAGGGTTACCATGGTTACCGTGCCTGCATCTGTACAGGGTTACTGTAAGGTGGGAAACTTTCGCTAGAGATTAAATTTCGCTGTTTCCGCGACCAGCGCACATTTGTGAATATAAATCGCCGCGAACTTCTCTGTACATTGACTGTGGACAGTACAAGATCCAAGTGAAGAGATAGAATCGCAAACGTTTCTCATCGTGAACCAGCCTAATTTAGGGAAACGCCAAATTTGCGCTCCGCGAAAGTCTGTCGCTTTACAGTACCGTGCCTGCATCTGTATTGGGTTACCGGGCGGGGTTACCGGGCGGGGTTACCGGGCGGGGTTACCGGGCGGGGTTACCGGGCGGGGTTACCGGGCGGGGTTACCGGGCGGGGTTACCGGGCGGGGTTACCGGGCGGGGTTACCGGGCGGGGTTACCGGGCGGGGTTACCGGGCGGGGTTACCGGGCGGGGTTACCGGGCGGTTGCGGACATCATGAGTTGGTTCACTTCGGGAACGGACATGATAATAGTCTTTTTCACTTTTTATTGTATTTGCATGTGCAGTGGTCATTCGTCATACCTACGGGCTTGCTCACATCCGCCACCAGTACTACGTGTTCAAGGATACACGGAAAACCAACGGAGAAGCCGTAGCCTTCTGCAAGAAGTACAAGATGGTCCTGCCACGACCCTACCTCCAACCTGTTGTCAGGGGCATCACCTTGTTGTACAAAGTGGACCTGACCTGGCTCTTTCCTTCCCCGCATCCGAGAACTTCCGATGGAGAACACCGCCACGCGCACGAAAGAAGGGGTGTCATCTGCGTTGCTGGAGGTAGGTGTGCCCATGCTACCAGAGTACATATTGTGCTACCAGAGTATTATTGTGCTACCAGAGTACATATTGTGCTACCAGATTACGTATTGTGCTACCAGAGTACATATTGCGCTACCAGAGTACATATTGTGCTACCAGAGTACATATTGTGCTACCAGAGTACATATTGTGCTACCAGAGTACATATTGTGCTACCAGAGTACATAATATTATCAAGAGTACATAACCCCCCAGAGTGTGCAACGCCTGATCCAGCTCTGTGTAGGGTCTTGGTCGAGCGGAATCGGATCTTTGCGTCATAATACCGTACACATCTGAGGGGAACCCGGGGAGTCGCGGGTACTCTTGGATCAAAAACAATGGTGCCCTGCCTCGAGACCGGCCTTGCGCTGGTGTGAAGTGTACGCATGACATCAGAAGATCCGATTCCGCTCGACCAAGACCCTACACAGAGCTGGATCGGCGTTGCACACTCTGGGGGGTTATGTACTCTTGATATTATGTTACCAGAGTACATGTACATATTGTGCTACCAGAGTACATATTGTGCTACCAGAGTACATATTGCGCTACCAGAGTACATATTGTGCTACCAAAGTACATATTGTGCTACCAGAGTACATATTGCGCTACCAGAGTACATATTGTGCTACCAGAGTACATATTGAGCTACCAGAGTACATATTGCGCTACCAGAGTACATATTGTGCTACCAGAGTACATACTGTGCTACCAGAGTACATATTGCGCTACCAGAGTACATATTGCGCTACCAGAGTACATATTGTGTTACCAGAGTACATATTGTGCTACCAGAGTACATATTGTGCTACCAGAGTACATATTGTGCTACCAGAGTACATATTGTGCTACCAGAGTACATATTGTGCTACCAGAGTACATATTGTGCTACCAGATTACATATTGCGCTACCAGTGTACATATTGTGCTACCAGAGTACATATTGTGCTACCAGAGTACATATTGTGCTACCAGAGTACATATTGTGCTACCAGAGTACATATTGTGCTACCAGAGTACATATTGTGCTACCAGTAGTGACTTTACTCCCTCGCACCCAGACGCTGATTTTTTGGAAACAAGTTTCTATACTTCCGATGGGAGAATCCGACATGGCAGTGCATTTCGGCGTGGCCAGGTCAAATTGTAGAATATCGCATCGAGTGAATTGCTTTATCTGAGAGAGGAGATGTTCGTGCCCTTGAGACCCGAAGTCCCGTTTCCATACGACAAAATTTAGGAGCTCTGCGCTCAGCGCTTTTTCAGGGTATGAATTTCGGGTTGTTCTGGTCGGGTCGCAGCGTCGCGGACTATTCTATCGTCTTCAGCGTCGAAAAACTACTGACCATGTGAAATTACAAGGCGGTGAGACGCTTTCGTCTTCCTCTACGAGCGAATTTGTTCTGCGCCAGCATACCTAAGTATGCAATTTCGTACGCGCAGTTCGAGTGTCGAGGCGTGTGCACTGTACACTGTACTGCATGCACGGACTGTGCGGTCGTTCTCGATTCTCCCATCGCTCCCATTCATTTCTGTTTCCAGCAAAAGTCCAACTTGGCGCACTTCAACTCACTATAACTCAAGAATGACTGGGCCGATTCGAATAATACTTACAGATTTCCTATGTACTACGCCTGGGAGAATGGAATGAGACCAAAATCGAAGCGATCGGAGCAAGTTTTGGAAATTGGGTGTAGTCACTACTACCAGAGTACATATTGTGCTACCAGAGTACATATTGTGCTACCAGAGTACATATTGTTCTACCAGAGTATTATATTGTGCTCCGGGGCAGAGTCCTGTACAGTTCATCCATTGGAAACTGGCACCCTAACTTTTTGGTGTCTCCTGCACATACATGTGGTTGTAGATCTCATGAAAACACCAGTACACAGCACATCCTGCATTGTGTGACCCGTGCAATTACTCCTTGCCACATTTGAGGCCAGAAAAGTCCAAGAACAGGGAAATAGAAATTCAGCATGGCAACATGTATGGAGACGCAGATTCCAAACCCAGATTTTTGAGATTTAGAGTGGGTTTTTGATCCTCAATTCGGCCCCAATACGCTCTATTGCAGGCATGTCTGAGGCCATGTTTAATTATTATTATTACAGTAAAACCAGTAACAAATGACCCTTGGGGCCAAAAGGGGCATTTAGTGGAAGATTGTCTTTTGAAAATGACATTTGAGAACCGGAAACTGATCATTTCTCTTCATTCCATAATAATAATAATAATAATAATAATTCCCCCTTCTTGAGAAACAAACTTACAAATGGTGCATACCAGGTATTGATATTTTTCCTTCTTATTTTCTCAACCTGCTCCTGCTACCTACACACACACAACTGTACATCGATATTTTTCGAGAAACGAACAGGCGTTTACCCCCCAAAAAAAGATGTATGTGTACAGTGAGTGGACATGTGTACGAACTTATGGCCCCTTTTGTTTGTGGCTTTTCTCAAATTTCAAAAAAGGTTTCATAAATGACGTGGTTAGTTTCATCATTCTAGCAGTGTGTGGACATGTTCTCACCACAGCCCAAGCTGCTATGGTAAAGCAACACTGCCTGTTTCCAATCAGTGGTTTGGCTGGGTTCATAATAATAATGTCATGATGTGTGTGTGTGTGTGTGTGTGTGTGTGTGTATGTGTGTGTGTGCGCGTGCGCGTGCATGTGTGCGTGTCTGTGTGTGCGCATGTGTGGGTGTGTGCGTATGTCGGTGTACGTGTGCAAATCATTTCCTTCTTTCCTAGGCTTTTACGAATGCAAAAAGTATAATGTAGTCCTCCACTACATGGATAATGGTCAGCGCAACTTTGAGCAAGCTAACTATGCTTGCCAACATCATCGCATGCATCTCGTCTCCTTAAACGGGCAAACATGCCTTCCTGAGTTTATGCGCCAGATGGGCATAAGAGGGGAGTACAGCATGTGGCTTCAGAATAAACTTTCCATGCAGTCCAGAAAGCCAAGGAGGAGTCACGACTACCAAATTACACCCCCTTCTATGAAAATGAAGTACCTGATTTGTGAAGTTGGTAAGTCGAACGGGAGAACGCCAATCCACTGCAATTGCAATATGCTCCTTGGTGAAGGCCCAAGTGCTAAAATTCGGAGACTGACTAATCGCTTGCAAACGCAGTGAAAGCCCATGGTTGTGTGAAGATGTGGGAGAGATGACTGATGGGGGTTGATAAGACAACAGTAAATCCAGACACCGTTGCGACCCTGAAACATTTGCCATTGTTTGTGATGGGTGTGTAATCGCCCCAGGGTACATGGGTAGGAAATGCGGAACTGTAGACTCAAGTCAAAAACCATGGACTACTTCTGGCTAAAGTAACTCTTGTGTAATCATGGTGCTAGTGAAGCTTGTATCAGGTCCACTCTGATTTAGCCACCCACGCTAGTAGCAAGTATTACCTTCACTGGGGGCAGGGGTAACTGCAGTTGGATCCCCAGACGGATACCTTGATGCCGTCAATCCCTTTTCTGTACCCTTGTCCTCGCCCACTTGCTGATGTGTGGTGAGCCCATAAGTGGGACCTTTTCCAAGTCTACCCATATTTTTTTGGGGGGGGGGGGGGAGACGGGTTGTCGGCCATTGGGTGGTTTAATAGCCAATTGAGTCATCTTTCCAAGATTCCGTTTGAGTCTCTCTCCCCTCTCCTTGGGAGACCCCACGGGACCAGTTTTGGCAGTGAGCGGGTACAAGTAAAAGGGTGTGTGTGTGTGTGTGTGTGTGCGTGTGTGTGTGTGTGTGTGTCTGCCATGTGTATGTTGTGTTGCCATGCAGTAATGACCTAATGGCCATCGTTGACATGCTCCCTGGAGATTGAGCCGGCTGGTCTTTCGTACTTCCTGCCGCCAGGCTATTTGGATTGCTGCGACCCCGATCGCACTAATGAATCTTCTTCTTTCTTTATTTGAAAAACCATCACCCTAATTTGGACAGTTCGAACTGGGTTGCCACATGCAGCCTAGTATGAAATCCTGCAGGGCGGTGGACGGCATTTGCCTTCTCCGCCTAACCCTGTGAGAACTGTCGAAACTGCTCTGTAAAAGCAATAACTACAGTGTGTGTGTTTTGGATACAGCGCACAATGCTGCTAATCTGCTACCCCCTATTTATTCTACTTCTTTCGTCTCGAGTCCATCCATTGCATTGAGGTGGGCATGTGTCCTTTTCGTGAGTGTATAACAATAAAATGGGAGTTCAATCTCAAACAAGACCCCGTAGGGGATGTGGTGTTCGTGATGCCTTGCTATATCTATCATTGCCTTTTTCCGATGGAAATACAGCGAAACCTGTCGAAGACGACTGCTCAAGGGACCTTCAAAATAGGACCTCTGTTACCAGGTGGTCTCCTTATCCACGATCAGTTGACTGGAAATAGCATCCCTTGGCCCTGGTTCCAGTGGTCTTTTAGGACAGGTGTTCGCCTTGTCCGAGTGGTCGCTTTGACAGGTTTTACCGTAGTCCACTGCCTGAAGTTAGAATGCAGTGGTCAATGACTGACACTCCAGCTTCGGCCCTGCCAAGGCTGCCACCGTGAATGTATCCTAGTATTGGTTTGTGTCCCCGGGGAAAATCGCGGAAAAATCCCAGAATTTGCGGGGAAATCGCGGAAACAATCCCAGAATTTGCGGGGAAAATCGCGGAAAAAATCCCAGAATTTGCGGTGTAATTTGCGGGTAAAGTAAAAAAAGTAAATTATCGTGTCCGTTCCCGAAGGGAACTCACGACGGCCGCTAACACCCGGAAAACCCTATTTGCGGGTAAATATGGCATAATTTACGGTAAATCTGCAGTGAATATTATTGATATGCGGCAAGTTTGCAAATGATGTGAGGCAATTTTCAGTGAGTATGTAGTGAAATCAATCAGTTACAAGTCTCTGGTGTAAGCACTCGTCATTTTTGAGTACAACGCCGCCACGATGAGACGTTGCTAACCGAACAGTGCACTGTGTGTACGTGTAGTGCAACAAAAAAGTTCAAAAACGCGGGAAAATCGGGGAAATGCAGTCTTTTAAAAATCGCAAAAAAAAACACGGAAAAAACGAGGCCGTGGAATCGCGATTATCCCCGGGGACAGTGTTTTGGACATTGAAGTCTGTTGAGAAATCCAGCGGCCACAGGGCGCAGGCCTTGCAGCCGTGAGCACTGCCGATCCATTTTTGCAATGTGTACGCGAACTACGGTGTGTGTACGCGCTAAGGCTGTTTGCGGTCATCTGTGGGACTACAATCACGGTCCACAACAGTACAGGAAGAATATGTCTACTCCGAACGTCGGAGCTCACGCCTTCTGCCGTCAGACATGACACTTGACTTACTCACGACTGCCATCCAGAACAGCGAACCTTCCACTCGGTTAACCTGCACGAAAGCACCACTAAACTGCTCAATACACAGTGTTTTCGGAGAATTCACCCCTCGTCAGTTGAGCTCGACTAGGCTATTGAAATTTCGGCTCCGATTTTTTTAAAACGCTGCATTATGTAGTGCTCTCCGAGCATCATCTTTTGCACAACAGTAGATGCATTGTTCTGCTCTGCCAATCCTTCCTCCTGACATCTGGGGTTGCAAAAGCCGATTCACAATATCACCTTTTTGCTATGCGACGCAAGACTTTCGACAGTTGCGACACGGAAGTCCACGAGCTGTCGATATCAGTCAGCAAAGTTGAAGAAAGTTCAACTTTTGCGACGTTTTTTATATATTTTAAATTTTTCACCCAGACCACTTAAACACTAAACATGCTATGCAGCTAGGGGAATCACGCACGACCTGAATCGTGCCAGTGGTGGTGAGGTTTAGGGAGCTCCGCCGACCTAGGGTCTCGACTTTATGGCCACCTTGACGCACATGCGAGTTTCTAATCTGGGTGAGCATGCACAGCGCCTGCACAGTATGTACTGCTATTCGATTCCTGGAGCCAGGTCCAGAAATCTAACAGGAGCCATTTGACACCTCGTCCAGGAAAGATTTGACTTAAAATTCAGAGCGGCGACCCAACTATAGGAATTTTGGAGAAAACTGGACGCAAAGCACGAGAAGCCGTAGATTATGCAACCCAGACACCTGCTCTCCTCTACTGAAACTACAACAGCCATCACTGTTGACACTTTTTTTGATTACAGATCACCCACGAATATTTAATCAGCTTCCAGCTAGTGTTGAATCAAATGCTGGATGCTGCTGATTTCTCAGGAATTATCACATTCTGCATCGAGATTTCTAGACTCTGTTTCTGGCCTTCTTGGATGGTCCAGCAAAGGCATCGTGATCAAACCTACTAACTTCGAGGTACATGTATGTTATGTATCAGATTGCAACGACCAGGAGGCTCTTAGTAGTGGCTGCAAATGACCGATATCCGTCACTTGCAGCTCTGCATCAGAGAGCTGTAGCTGGCCTGAAGAGTTGTAAAATTACTCCTTCGTAGCCGGGCGAGTCAGAGCGAGGGCGATTCACGGCTTGGTCAAAAAACTGTCGGCCTGGAACGTAAACGTCGATCTGCCGACACAGTTCACCTGGTTCACACGCCTGACCTGGCATGCTGCCTTGCGTGAAAGGAACATTTTTCGGAAAGCAAGCTTCTTCTCCAAATTTCGAAATTTCCTTCCAAAAATGCCGTCGTCCTTGACCTCGAAGCTGAATGTTGTTAGGATAGAAAATTAGCGAAGATGTAGCCGACCCATTCTGGCAAGTCGTGTGCCCTCTGGATATGCAGTTGTTCGCCATGGTCAACAATCTTCTTCTCCTTCGTTCGTACTTTCACTTTCCTGACCACGAATACAAGCGGTACCCATGCTCAGGTTAGTGTTTATTTGTCTGTCTATGCACATACATGTAATACAATGTACTGTTCGTGCTGCAGGCACTGGCCGATCATGGAAATAGAGGCAGCAGCCAGCTTTCTTTGAATTCTCATCCTTTCAACAAAAATAATAATGTACACACTTTCCTTGGCTCCTTTTTCCCACCGCCACCATGCATGCACTTCTTTTCAAATTCGTGTTTGCTTTGACAGTGGTTTCATGGGTATCCTTCAGCCTTCCCTGGCATTCAAAATTCAGAATAGTTTCCACCCAGGTGCTAGTGCCTCTGTTCTGCTTAGCACATTGTAGTAAAATTATTTGCAACTGCCCACCACTGCACTCTTGGCTCACATTCACCACACCATAGCGAGGAAGTAACTAGTTTGTTCTTGGATAGATGTCTGGAGGGTGTAGAGCATCTATCCAAGAACGAACTTCCTCGCTATGGTGTGGTAAATGTGGGCCAAGAGCAGTGAGGAGAGGTGGACAGTTTCAAATTATTTAGCCACATCCGATCCTTTCTCCGATAATTATGGACATGTTTTACTATACCGGTATATTGAATGGCCACTCATGCTTCTATTGAGAGGTAACACCACTCAGAAAACTGAGGAAAGCCAACCGGTGTTGCACAGGATTTGAGGTTGGGAAGAAAAGATGTTCCGATAAAAGAACTGCGAGTACATGGGAAACGTATCATGGAAAGGGCAGTCCGAGTCGAACTAGGATCTCCTGTTCCAGACTGTACCGAAAGCGTGAATATGAATACCGTTAAGTCGCGGATAAAAGCCGGGTTTGCATACAAGCACATCGCAGATAGAAGCCTGAAAATCAAACGGGTCAAATGCATATAAGCCTGTCGCGCGTAGAAGCCTGGCTTCTATGCAAGCGCAGATCGGGTGGGTCAAGAGTGCATGCGCTATGTCGGTGCATAGTAAAACTGCCGCCATACCGGTAGTCAGTGGTAGATCTACGCGTGCCGCGCGTAGAAGCCTGGCATACAAGTCTGGCAAAAATATCAGTAGTGCACATAAGCATGGTTTGCATACAAGCCTGGTTTGCATTAAAGCCTGATGCAGAAAGCGGCTTATGTGCTTATAAGCCCGGCTTTTATCTGCGACTTTACGGTACAGAATGCCGATAATCCGAACAATCACTTATTCGAAATGCCAGTTTCCATTGAATTGAAGGGACGAAAATGAGCTTCTGCTCATTTTCCCCAACCCCAAGCACCATTCAAGCGGTGCACAAGATAGTTTGCAACAGGTTGGAGCAACAATGTATCACCGTGGAGTCATATTGAGGAGCTAGAGTGTGTCTAGTTCCTGTGAAGAGAATGTGAGAAATAATGGAAACATGAAGGTATGTGCAAGTCTTAGATGGATGTGTGACTGCTCCCTTATCCGAATTTTTCCCCATCCGAACCCCCTGGAGAAAGCGTGCGCCCGAGGGGTGCGGATAATCTACATTCTGCTGTAACAGTTATGTACAATGCGTGCCGATGCACATTGGACAACGTTGCAAATGTAGAATTGTAGGTGGACTGTGGTTCACATCAGACGATCGGAGTACCCCCACCAAACGAAGAGAGCTCAACATCACAAGGTAGAGCTTGCATGTACAATCGAAAAAGAGTACATAATATACCATCAGCTGATGTTGTTAGTGTGCGTTATGAAGTCTGAAGAAAATGTTGAACGATCTCGGCTGGAATGACGTCTTCACCTTAGCTCAGTGATTAGAGCATCGCTGGCCTCAAGCGAAGGTCCTTGGTTCGAGTCCTGGTGGTGACAGTCAATTTTTTCTTCAGACCTTTCTCGTTTGTGCCTTTCCCTCTAACCAGTGAATATTACTGTTAGCTTCGTACTTTGAGTGATTATCACTTACAGTTACATATACAATGTATTTGATAATTTCTTAGCGCATGAAAATCGGAGTCAGTACCACAATATTCCTCCCTCACTATAATGAGTCTAGATACTTTGAATGTGGAACAGGGTCCAGGACAGGATCGTCTGCTCTATCCAAATTATGGCCTGGTTGCAATTTGTCTATTTACCAGCGGGTACATACTAGGGAGTCAAAGCACCTACACTGTAGGGAGACTACACAATACTTTTATAGAATTTTGGGTCTGGATTTGGAGGTTCTCCGTGATCTGTGCAACCCGCGATCACGGCCTTGACCTACTGACCCTGAGAGCGGCCCAGATTAGCAATGCCATGTACGAGCGTGTATAGATCTGCCCAATGGTGCCCCAGGGGTGGCTGAAACAGGAACCCCTGGGTCGAACCCCATGTCATTTAGCTTTACAGTCGCCTGTGCCGTCTACCTAGATGCTCCAACTCCCTGCGTTGCACCCAGTAAATGCAGCACATCAAGTATACAGCCATGTAGTGTTGGTTGTCACCTGTTCTGATCG